TTTTTTTTTTTTTTTTCTTCATGTCTTCAAACATCCCCTCATTGCTCATTCCATGCTGATAATTGCTTTTTTTTTCTTATGGCCAGATCATCGACCTGATCCCACTTTGGGTCAATTTGGAGGGGCAACACGAGCGGGATGACGATGACGATGCTGGGACCAGTTCCGACGGTCCATCTGCTAAAATTATTGTCTTTCGATGCGAATGTTTCTGTTATATTAAAAACCACTGGCCCTACGGAATAGCCCGGTCTGTGGGTTCTTTGTTTGATCGTTGCGACTTCTAAATTGCTTCCTGCGCCTCAGGCTATTACTATTATTATGTATTATCGAGTTAGCACCTACTACTGGATACTACTTAGCACTAACAAACAGCGCTACAACGGCCCGTCATCGTGTGTGTCTCTACTGCACCACAGCCTTCTCCGGTAACAAGCTCCCGTTGTTGGGCTCGCCGTTTTCTTTCCCTTCCCTATCATCCATCGCTTGGGGGCCTCTTTTCTTTTTCTTTTCTTTTCTTTGCGCTTACCCGCTCACAGGTTGTTGACTGTTGAACTGGTCGTTCTTAGTAGAGGATCAGACCTCTGGCTAGTTGGGAGTATCCCGAGATCGACAGTGGCAGTGTCTTTCTGGATACCGGCTATGAGTCCCTAAGACCACAACGTGTCCGTTACTTTTTCTTTTCCTTTTCCTTTTTTTTTTTTTTTTTTTTTTTTTTCCTATCTCCTCGTCTTAATTAGGCTTTATTTCTATTTTTTCTTTTATTTTTATATTTATTATTATTTTATTTCATTTTTTCTTCTACGACTTGCCCAGGAATTAACGAAAAAATTCTTGGTAAATCCATGGGCCACGAGGTCCCACTCAGGAAAAGGGCGGAACGGCTGAGCTTCCCAGAGGCTGGGACGGAAGAACGGTTGAGAGTAATTAAGAAGGGGATTTTAACTATGGTTCTGACTTCTGACGTTCGTCGGTACGGAGAGCAACTCCGTGCTTAAATTCTGACCTGCAGCTGAGGTTCCTTAGGCCTTGACTAGCCTTTTTCTAGTTTGTAATCCTTGAGGCGGAATTGACATGGATCAGGTTGTTCTGGGCAGGACTGGCATCTGGTCTTGGCCGGGCTTGGTTGGCAGTCCTCGTCTTCCAGTTCAGCCTGGAACCGCCGTGGTTCGCTGATGATCATCACGGCAACTCCTGGCAGTCCAACTGTTAGCTAGTCTGTCTACAGTAAGCCTGTCCTTTCCTTTCCCCCCTCCCCATTCTCCATCCATGGATGGGGCCCTGAGAGTCGTCAAAGCCGAGTGGCTTTCCACTTTCCTCTCCCACCACACCCCCCCCTCTTCGCATCTACCCATCAGGTTGCTACTTTGGGTTGGTTGGCGTGTCCCAGTAGGACGCAGTAATGACGGAGACATGGGAAAGTCAAAGCCGCCGTTACCACCTGGTTGATGGGGCCTTCACCGGCTTGATTGGATGTTGAAGCGGATCGTTTTTACTATTCTTAATTCTCTTCACCGATGCTGATGGAGTCCGTGGGTTGCTGAAATCCCCTCCCCCCCTGAGTGTGATGGAGACGAATGTGAATTTGGGGATGTGTTTCCTGAAACGTCGTCGGAGGCGCATTTGCCCTCGGGCCGTACAGTTCGATAGTCTCAAGCAGAGTGGTTGGCTGTCGGACAGTAACCTGCGCGCGCCACGATTGCCGGACCCCTAGTAGTACTAAGTACTACTAGTCAGTCAGCCCCTCTGATTGACTTGGATGAGCAGGGTGCTACATAACTTTACAAAGCATACGTACATGTCTCCGAGAGCAGAAGAATGTGCAAGGGGAGAACAAGACATTCATTCATTCATTCATCAGCAGCAGCAGCAGCAGCAGCATTGTTATTATTGGTTACTACTGTCTAATACTACTTTGTACCATCCGTACCAGGCGAGCAGTTCAGCATCGTTCTGACGATCTACTCGGAATCCCGCCTCCGGACAGAGCCTATTGGCCGAGCCACATGGACGCACGAGGCAGCAACCGTGGTCAAGTTCCACCGCAAATCCTGCATGTTACGCGATGGGGAATAATAATGATAATGCCTCTTTCTGTCTTTGGTTCTGTCTCTGTCAATTGAGCCGGTGAGCTGCCTTTTGCTGCTTGTTGCTGCTGTTGCTGCTGCTGGCTGACGATGACTTTGGGTCACCGTGGCGGAGTTGGAGTCTGACGAGTGACGCCAGCTTCGGACGAAACACGGAGAAAACCGCCCGGTGGTTGGCCAGAGCGAAAAATCCCCGGCCCATCGTTTTTTAATTTTTTTTTTTTATTTCTTTATTTTTCTAAATCTGATCTATTTTCTCCTACGGATGAAGAGAGCGAGAGAGATCGGTTCGCCTAGAACTTGGTTATGATTGCCATTCTTCGGCCTTTGCCATATTCTTGCTCCTGCTGAATGTAGTTTAGTATTCGGGCTCTGCTGGGAGGTTTTTAGAATTTTTTTTTTTCCCTTCTAATACCCCTCTTTCCCTTTTCCTCACTGTTGGCCGGTTAATCTTATCCTTTTTAGCTCTTCAGAATTTTCGCTTGGCGCCTTTTGCAACGCAATTCATTTGTCTTTGAGAGGCTTTTTTGAGGCTTGTGTGGTCACCGTATCACTTGCCATCCACCTCCGTCAGCCTGGCCCGTGGACTAGCTTTAGCCGTCAGATTCCTGAACCAATGAGGTGGCGTATGTTCCTTCTCCCCAGCAGTCACCATTCAACCGTCGACTCGGGCGAGAGACTATCATCAAGTAGTCAAACTTGGCATCCCTCTCCCAGTATCTAGTGCTGTGTCTGTGTGTTTTTGTGTGCGCGCGGCATCCATCAAGGCTCGGGCTCCTGACGGTCATGTCGATCCAACAATTAAACGGAAGGACAAATAGTGGAAACAGGGTCCAATTGCTTGTCGCACTGATAATCAGCAGGCGCTCCCTCGGAAATGTCTTAATCCAGCAAGTGATCGTACTGTAGTTGTTGTGTTCCGAGTGGCTAGCTGACGAGGATAATGTTTGGTTAGGCACCATTCTACTAAATTTCCCTTTCGGCTCGCGGATTCCGGAGAACACATTAACTGACGCATCTACCTGGTACCTACATATTCAAGGAAGCACGAGGACTAGCTCCGAGTCACGATGACCGTCGACCGAGCGCCGACTATGGCCGCCGTGTGCCTGCGCAGGACCAGAGAGGACTTGGGCGGGGTGGGCACGAGCTCTAGCCGCATCATGGATCCAGCTGCATGCTGCTGTTTCTATCCACTGGACACACACACACACACGCACACACAAATGTTGCCCTGTCTGCTACGGAAATGATATCCCCAGCCAATCTAGTGGGCGAGGTCGCACAGACGGACAACATCCGCATTCCTCGCCGGAGCAGGTTACGCATTCCCCCCTGTCTTGTGCCGTGGGCTAGAAGCCTGCTTTCTCTTTTCGGCCCCTCATGCTTCATTCTCATGATTTATCATGATTAGTTGATTGTGATGATTATTTCTATTATTTTCGCTCTGCTTCTGGGCCTATCGACTCGGACATAACATCGCTCAGGCCTATCCCTGTGTGTAGGGCCAGGCGAGGTGCACAGCCCGGTAATGCTACTAATGGGATTATCAAAGCACAGTAAGATGTTGTGAGTTGCCATTGTCGCGGAAGGATTCGTTTCTTGACGCCTGCGGGTTGGTTGCATGACGGCCCGTTGGCTGGAAGCTCGGCTCAGGAACCTGGACAGCTCTAGCTGGGCATCTAGGCTCGTGTCGAGATGATGCTGATGGGCTTGGGTCCCCGCATCAGCATCAGCCAGTTGTGCTCAGATGCCTGATGGTGAGCCTAGGCTCCGGTGTTGATATCATTGGACACGACAGTATTTTTTTTATTCCTTTTGATTCTCATACTTTTACGGAGGGGATGTCTAATATCCACCGAAATTACTATCATGGGCTCAACCGCCGGTGTTGAACAAGGAGATTAAGAGGCCGTGACTAAGGATGACTAGCGACTGCAAGTCTGGTAAGGCCGGAGAGGTGGTGGCATGTAACGTAGCCGGGCCGGATATTCTAACCGAGATCTCTAACGATGCGACGATACGGTTAGACCGTTAGAGCCCGTCCTGGAGATGACCGGAAATTAAATCAGCACCAGCATCATCATCCACCATGATAAGACAAGCCACCTGAGGGGTAAGTAGATACTCAAGACCAATAAGCTATACACAAGGAATTAATACATCTTTCCCCTATGACCTATAACAAGATGATTAAAAAATGAAGTGGAGAGTGATGGCCAGTGATGGCCAAGATGGTCATGATCTCTTCCCAATCCGTCTCCGAGACCCCGAGGGGCTGTCATGTCAGCCAGTCGCACTTTCCGGTGAGCTAACGTTAGCAGCCAGTCAAAAGGCATAGAAAAGGGCGCAGATTCCGACAGCCGGACGGGAAAGGATCCCTTTGGAGTATGGCTACTTGGCTAGATACGATACTCATGCTAATGTGCTAATGTGGTCCGGTTTGGAGACAACACCGGGTAACTGACCGGATGAGTATTATTGGGTGAATGGCAAGTTCTCTGCTACCAGCGCACAATCAATCAGTCAATCAATTCCCAGGGTCCGGTGCCCCCCCCCCTCTCCCCTCCCCTCCCTCCCCATGTGGACGGTCCTTCCCGTGACAGTCTGCCGCTGCACCCCATCCTGTAACCATCTCTGGGTGAGATAGTCGTAGATAGATAGATGGATAGATGGTGGTATCATCTATTCCCGATTCCCCTCCTGCGCACGCGCTGATTTTTCTTTTTATTTAGTTAGTCTGGTTTCCCTGTTGCATCCCACGGCAAGAGGCTTGGCTGGCTAGCTGCCTGGCCAGACCGACCCTGCGTCGCTTCTAATTATCCCGTATTTTTTTTTTTTTTTTCCCCAAATGCTAATGCTGAAGGGGCGGTGTCATGAGGGGTTTACCTACTAAGTAAATAACCACCCACTAAGTGACTAACGTATACTAATCTCCCTCAATGCCTCCCTCCTCCTTCCAGCGGCTATCTAACTTCCCGGATGTCAGCCCAGGAATACTATCCGTCCATACAAGCCCATCCGTCGCAACCCCCAATTCGGTGAGTTCCGGTCACCGGGACTAACCTTCTAGTTACTAGTACTACCCACACACATCAACAAGGGTCTCTCTCTCTCTCTCTCTCTCTCACACACACCCTCCTGTTTCATCCTTTCTACCCTTCTCCTTCCGCACCCGTCTCTACGTATCTTTTTGTTCGGCCCTCGGCACCACTTCGGTCGGCCCAAGGCCCAATGATGAATGAATGAATGAATGACCGTGAGTGAGCTAAGGAGCACGACCGGTCCACGTGGGCCATGCATTGACCCTCTGTGCTTGGACCAGTGGTATTGTCTGATTTATGACCCCCCATAGTAGGAGTCGTAATCTCATCTGTCTGGGTTTGGAGATGTGAGGTCATCTCAAGTTGATCTCGATCGATCAGTAGTCAATAAGGAAACTGTAAACGAGGGTATTTATCGTATACTCAAAGGATAGTAATTGAAATGGGAAGTAAGCTCGAGTGAACCCATTGAAAATTAAAACTTCGTATATAGTAGGTAATAGTTATGTTATACCAACACATCGCGATATTCTTCTACCACCTACTGTAAGAATCTTGCGAGATCACTACACAGTAAATACTAGTAGTAGTCCTATATAGACAGAATCGATCTCACCGGGTCAATGCTTACCACGAATCGAGCAACAATTCCCCCGGAGAAAGAAGACGAAGTCAATTAGCAACTTTACTTGTTCAATGTTATTTTCACGATATTGGTTCGGGACAGTAGTATAAGCCTGTGTAATCCAGCAGCACTAAGTAGACATAGACATGTGGTCGGCAATCTCCATCTAGCTATCTAAGCGATGCTCGTACATTTCATCAAGGGACATGCGCTAGCTGAGAGGCAACTCTCTCTCTCGGATAGTCTTTCTCCGGGGGCCAGTGCTTAGCACGATACTCTATCGTCCAGCATCATGATGATGAATTCGACCAATCAATGCAGCAACAATCAACAAGGGAGAATACATCCATTCATGAGTATCCTATCCGTCCGGGTGAGAGCATTTCCACTGCAATAATGGAACATGGTATATACCAAATGATAATTCTACAGTCCAATCTAATATTACTATGTATGATGTACGAATGCAGCGCCAGGTTTTACTACACTAATGAATCCATTCATGCACCTCCGGCTTACTTATTTAAACCTATACTTCGTACAATGGCACGGAATTAAGCAAAGCAATATGATAATCGTACGCACCTCGGACATATACAGCATCCTCCGGAGGAAGTCAAATTCCAAAAAGGACTCTCTACATTAGTATATAGTACGGAGTACTATATCCCATATTCTTCGCTAGATAGTGAATACTAAGTGGATAGTGGATAGTGTCGTGCTTCGCCTCGGCTATGACGATAACTAAGGAAAACTAGCTAGTCAGTCAGTTAGCGAGGATGGACTGGATTTGACTGGTCTACGGAGTAAGTCTTTTTTTCACTTGATGGCTAAGTTAGTTAGTTGGTTAGTTATTTAGTTACTATCTAGCTAGATGATTAATATTGACGAGTAATAACTAACTAACGTTAATCTCTCATGCTGACAAGCTAAGGATATCTCATCAAATGGACATCTCCACGATGGGTACCGGATAGCCCCCGAAGTGTGATCGGAGGTGATTCCGATAGCTGGTCCGGAGCATTGCCGTTAGACTACTAGACCATTTGGATTCGGACTTGAGGGAATATTGAGGGGCGGAGGGGGATGGTCTGCTGACTTGTCGTTGATTATTGTTCTTTTCTTTTCGTATTGATTAATTTATTTTTTGGGTACTAGTTAATTGCTAGTTATATCGGAGGGTATGTGCTCTACATCGGAATGTCCGATGGTCACATGAGTAGTAGTGATACTATACAGAGTAGAGATGAGATATAATCATCATCCATTAATTAGTACGAAGTGACATGGTAGTAATTCGATTGCCATATCATGACTATAGTTAGTTACTCCTAATTTGTTATTCAGCACTCAGAGCCAGAACAAGAAAATAAGCAGACAGAATATGCAGAGAAACACCCAACTCCCCCCAATGCCATCATCCATCCATCCATCCATTCATCCCCCAACATCTACCATCAACCAACAGAACACACTTATAATCAACAGCTAACAGAAATAGAAACTAGAATAGAAAATTAAACCTTAACCCCCTCCCACCCCTTCACAATCACCTCCACAATCCTCTTCACCCCCTCAATCTCCTCCTCAGCCATCACCCCCATCGTCGCAGGCTCAATACTCCCACCCACATAAACAGGGGTCTTCAACCTCCTCGCAAGAATCTTCGCGATCCGGGCCGTGTATTCCACACTTCCGGGGACGGAGTAGATTGTTGTTGATATCACATTTTTAGGATCCATTCTCTGTGTGTTTTTCTTATATCAGATTATATCCCATATACTTATACTATGATTATACATGATGGACCTTATAATATGCATGTGGTATATGTAAGAGGGTAAGTTGAAACAGCAAAGGCATGGATGGAATAGTAATATCAACTAGCCGATGGATTGAAACAAGATACAGGGATGATATATTGGATGTTAAATGAAAAGAAGAAGAGGGGATACGTACATCCGGCATCGCATACACAAAACTCCCCATCGGCTTGATACTGCCCGCTGCATCGCCCGGCGTCGACGAGGTCAGAAACACCGTCGTGCAGGTTTGGTGTCGTGTGAGGTGGATGTGGGCGGTCGTGTGGGGGGTGTAGGGGAGGGGGAGGGAGAGTTCTTTGATTTCTGTGGTCATTTTCTATTCTCTTCTCCTTTTTTTTCTTTATTCTCTGAGGTAAGGTCGTCTGTTATGTGGTGTAGAGTATAGTGTGTTTGTTTGTGGTTTGAGCTTGATAGCCGGTTCGAGGTTTGTTGGTGGTTTGGTTTGCATCTTGCATCACCGCTTTGAAGGTCCGGATCTTCCCCCCGCCAAAAGTCACGGAGTTTCTTGTGCGGGTCCCCCGCTACAACTTTTCTACTCTTGGTTTACCACCATTCTTTCTGTAACTACAGTAGGTTTCTGAACGTAGGTAAGTACATTCTGTTGCTGCTGCTGTCTGGATAGAGTAATGGGTTTGGTGTTATTGTATTTTGGACTATTGTGCATGCTAACTGCTACAAAGTACTGCAATGGACGAGCACGAGCCAGATGAAATCCGCAGCTGGTCTGGCGATTTCGACCCCCTGGCCGATAATGCCGAGCGTCGTGTGCTCTTTGCTGCTTTTGATTCTTTCAGGTGAGTCATTTTGTTACGTGCCCTTGGGTCGCCTTGCTTAAACACAACCCGTGGTAACCCGCTGGCATGTCATCTACGTTGCTAAACATCGCTCAGGCAATATCGGAGAACGGCGCACATGAACACCACTCACCGTCGTCGTCAGGCCTTTTATGCCCTGCCCTCTGCACACTGGCAGATGCTGGCCGAGCCGCCCTTCTCCATCCTCGACAACTTCAACCGCGTGGACGACGCCATCGATGTGAATGCCGACATCGCAGATGCCATTCTGACCACCGGTCTCTCGTCGTTCGGGCTCTCTGAGAACCCTGATCCCAGTGACCCGCGTCAGAACTGGCACGGGACGGCCACCCAGTCCGATGTCAACAAGGCGCACTCCACCCTGAGACAGTTCTACCGCGACTGGAGCCATGAAGGCCAAGCAGAGCGAGATGTCTGCTACGGCCCTGTTCTGTCCGACTTGCAAGAAGAGTTCGGCGCGCGCATTGGCTCCTCCGAAGATGAGGACGAAGTCAGGGTGTTGGTTCCTGGCGCCGGTCTGGGGAGACTGGTGTTTGAGATCTGTCGGCAAGGGTTCGCCGCGGAAGGGAACGAGATCTCCTATCATCAGTTGCTGGCGAGTAGCTGGATCCTGAACCACACGCTCGGCCCTCAGAAACACGCGCTGCATCCCTTTGCGCTGCATTTCTCGAACCTTCTGTCCCGGGAGCAACAGCTGCAAGAGGTCAAGATCCCGGATCAGCATCCGGGTACGGCCATGGTGGAAGCCCAGGCGAACTCGGCGCCATTTGGGCGGATGAGCATGTCGGCTGCCGACTTTACCGTGCTATACACCAACCCCAGCAATAAGGAGGTGTTTGATGCCGTGGCGACGGTGTTTTTCATCGACACGGCGCCGAACCTCATCCGATACATCGAGGCGATCCGACACTGCCTCAAGCCCAACGGCGTCTGGATCAACGTGGGACCGTTATTGTGGCATTTCGAGGACGGGAGCAACCGCAGTCAGCACGGAGGCAGTGACGAGGGCCACGGTGACCAGGGGATTGGGGAGCCCGGGAATGTGGAGCTGACGGAGGCAGAAGTGTTTTGCCTCGTGGAGCGAATGGGCTTTGCGATCGAGAAGCGCGAGGCGCCGGACAGGCGACCCATGTGTGGGTATATCCAGGACCCGGACAGTATGTTGCAGCCATTGTATCGGCCGTCGCATTGGGTAGCACGGAAACGGGCCGTATAAAAGTGATATTCAATGTGTATAATTTTTTCACCTTTTTCCTTGTAGATAGATAATGGTAGTGATGAGGATGATGATGATTTAAACAGACCGACCGGTGTCGGTCGGTAGTTGACTAGTAAGTAAGCAAGCAAGCAAAGAAGAGCTGTGGGATGTGGGATGTGGGATGTGTCATGAAAGATACCATACCGAAATAAAACCAGATCGGCGATACGGGCACAGATTTTCAGCCGCAGACACGAAACAAAGAAGCAGAAGAAAACAGTGACAGACAGACGGACAGACAGACAGACAGACAGACAGACGGACAAGGCTGGCGAAGGCTTAGCGGGCGTGGCTGAACCCGCCGGTTCCTTGGGGCCATTCCTTGGTGTGTCCACTCCGTCCATGGGAGGCTGGATGGAGTTCCCTCAGGTACTAAGTTAACTAAGTTCACTAACGGGGGAAAAGAGAGATGAGTGGAGTGGACGGCCAAACAAAGGACCGTCCGGGCAGATGCAGATCCACCCACAACAGAAAACGGAACGGGATCAACTGCCAACAGTTCAGGTAGATAGAAGGGGATCATCGGGTGTCAAATCTGTAGTTCAAAGTACTGTGGACGGTAGACGAGGAGGCTGGGGGAGGGGATTGATAGTCGGGATGATCGCACAAGGATGACTTCCTCCCACTGTAATCAGGTGTTTCTAAAGCAGATGGTGGCTGATGAAGCGAGGGAATCAAATCAATCATCGGGCGTAATTCAGATTCTCTTTCTCGGAAGGGATCCTTACGCCGAGGCCAAACTGGGGTTCAGGTTCAGTATCAGACCATACCTTACCGTATGGTATCATTCTTCCAGTGATCCATCAAGAATAGAATCAGGCTGAGACAGAATCAAGTCAACCATTCATTTTGCCAGACTTTGGTCTGTCGAGATAAATACTACTTGTATTGTTCTATCTTTATTTTCTTTTTTTAAGATCGCATCCAGACTCAGAGAGACAGACAGACCCTGAGAGTTAGTAAGTAGTAAGTAGTCGGAGAATTTGGGGGATGGGAATCCAGGGTGACATCCTGTCGGGCGTTATCGCGACACTCCATCATTCCAGAGCACGGATTCCCTGCCATCAAATCAATCCAAATCTCACCTCATAAGCACTGGTTAGTGAGTTAACTTAGTTAGCTGGGCGTTAAGTTAGTTGTGGTCGCTTTCTCTTCTTTCTTCCTTCCACCACCACTACCACCCCCTTTCGAGGCTGAATCTTCCCGATCCTTGACATTTCATCTCATCGCATCGCATCTGTTGAATCAGCCTCTGCCTGCATTTCTCCCCCGCAATCAATTTGGTGACAAGATAGTAAACTTTGGTGGTGTTTTGTTGATTGATTTCCCCTTCCCTTTCCCTTCCCCGCCCAATCCAACAACTTCAAACTTGCTGCTCCTCCTCTTCCTCCGACTCCGCCTCAATCGACCCTCGCCCGCTTTCCTGCCCTTCCCATTCCATTCCTTTTGGGGGGGAAGAGTCACTCCCTTCTCTTGTCCCTCGTTTTACCTGCTGCTGCCTTACCCATCTGACCCGCTTACTCTCTCTCTCTCTCTCACTCTCTACCTCCCTCCATTCTTTCCCTTCCCTCTTCCTTCCTCTCCTCTCTCTCTCTCCTCTTTCCCTCCCCTCCTTCCCTTCTTTTCCATCTGCATTCTCCCCCCTCCCTCCGTGCATCATCGGTCTCCCATATCGACCTGATGAGCTCACGGTTGAACTTCAAATCGTTCACCTTCGGGACGAAGCGCAACAAGAACCATTCGCCTGTGCAGCACAGCCAACCTGTGAACGCTCCTTCTACCAACACTCTCGTCGCCGCTCCCTCCTCGGCCACCTCGCCCAGCTCTCCTCCCTCCGGTCACAGTTCTTCCACCACTAGCCTCCCCATGAACAATCAGAATACCTTGGGGCGCCCCCCGAGCTACACCTACAACACCGCCGGCCGGCCCACCAGTCCTCTACCTCCAGGCCAGCCCATGCCTCACCATCCTCCGCCGTTGAACACCAACCTACCTTATCCTCAGTCCTCCATGGCCCCCATGGGCGCTCCCCCCGGCTACGGGTTACAACAGCAGCTCGGCGCCGGCATGGCTCCCGGCCTTCACCAACCCCAGTACGGCGTGCGGAACCCCGCCGTCGAAGTCGAAGGTGCCGGCCGCAGTAAGGCCCAGTTGATCGTGGGAATCGATTTTGGCACGACATTCTCCGGTGTGGCTTTTGCATTCGCGACCAACAACGAGGCGAGAGAGGACATCATCACAGAGTGGCCTGGCGCAGGCACTCATACCAAACAAAAGGTGCCGAGAAGCAACCCCCCCTTCATTTCCGCCAGATGACCAGCTTACTAACCAGAGTCATTGCTTGGCTCGTCTAGATCCCGACCGTTCTGTACTACGATCAGTACCAAAAGGTGGTGGGTTGGGGCCCGGATATTGCTGATGCTTTGGCCCCCACCGGATACCCGAAGCAAGGGGTACAGAAGGTCGAGTGGTTCAAGCTTCAGCTGATGCTCTCCGGGAACACGTACATTGACCCCATCAACCTGCCGCCTTTGCCCCCGGGCAAGTCGGAGATCGATGTCGCCGCCGACTACCTCTTTAAGCTGCGACAGGCCATGCGGGCCCAGCTCCAGAAGACCTTGGGTGAAGTGTTTACCCGTGAAGAGCGGAACATCCGTTACTACATCACCGTACCTGCCATTTGGAACGATGCTGGAAAGGCAGCAACACGAGCAGCCGCCCTCCAGGCCGGCTTCCTGAGAGACGAGAATGACAATCGCCTAACCTTGGTATCCGAACCGGAGGCAGCCGCGCTATTTTGTGCAAAGACCGGTCTCCTGAACCTCAAGATCGGTGACGCCATCCTGATTGTCGACTGTGGAGGTGGTACGGTCGACTTGATTGCGTACGAAGTCGAAGAAGAGCAACCGTTCAGCGTCGCGGAATGCACCGCTGGCTCTGGAGACTCGTGTGGTTCCACTGCGCTCAACCGGAACTTCAGCAACATCCTCCGTGCGAAGATTCGGAAGATGAAATTGCCGGATGGTTCCCGTACGGCCGGCAAGGTCTATGCCAAATGTATCATGGACTTCGAGAACCGTATCAAGGCCGATTTCCGCAACAACGGCCAAAAATGGGCAGTGGATGTCGGAATCGAAGCAGACTTCCCCGACGCAGGCATCGAGGAGGGCTACATGACGTTCACGAATGAGGAGATCTTGCAATGCTTCGAGCCCGTCGTGAATAGAATTCTCGAGCTGGTGCGCAATCAGATCATAGCGATTCAAGCGCAGAACAGGTCACTTCAGGTTTGTACCCGCCATCTCCGTCCTCCCAGCTGCATTGGAAAACTAACCAAGATTGCAGAACGTCCTTGTCGTTGGTGGCTTCGGTGCCTCGGAGTATCTTTTCCAGCAGATCAAACTCCACGTCCCTCCTCAATATCAGTCCAAGGTAGTCCGGCCGATGGACTCGGTCGCTGCCATCGTCAAAGGTGCCGTGACTGCCGGAATCACCGAGCGGGTGATTACGCACCGTGTAGCACGACGCCATTACTTGATGGCCACGCTGCAACCCTTCAAGGAGGGTTATCATCCGGAGCAATACCGTGTCCCTAGTCTTGACGGCCGCGACCGATGCAAGTACACAAGGCAAATCTTTGTGCAGAAAGGCGAGCGGGTGAAAATCGGCGAGCCTGTCAAGGTGAGCTTTTTCCGGCAGGTTGCGCCGGGAGCGACCCTCATGTACGAGGATATCCTGTACGCGTGCGATGAGGATGTTTGTCCAGAGTACACCAAGGATCCACGTAAGTTGCATTTCGGACTGGCTGCCTTGCTCATGGGGTGCTAACGTTGAATGCAGGTATCAAGGAAGTTGTCACACTCACCTCCGATCTGTCCCGTAAGAACCTAGAGACCGATTTCGAGCGCATGGACACACCCCAGGGTACTTTTTACCGAGTGTACTTTGACATCTACCTCACGCTAGACGGTAGCGAGTTCAGCGCAGAGCTTGTCTGTCAGGGCGAAGTGATGGGTCGGTGCCGGGCCAAGTTTAGGTAGACAACGCCCTGCTTGGATTAGGCAGGCAGGCAGAAGAGGAGCGCCCCTGTATGGAAGGTCCGAGGAAAAGAACCGACTGAGAGTACAAATCGGGTTGAATGCGGAAGTCCCAACTTTTGTGATACACCAATGATGATCAGCACTGCACTGGGAGGGCGTTTAATATGCTTGAGCTTGCGTCCGTGTGGACGATTTTTGGAGATTACCATTTTGTTGCGAGCCCCCACCGATTTTTGGGGCCAATTGTCTGTGTTTTCTTATTCCCCTGGATACCTCTTTCGATGAGCTTTTGATGATTTCTATTTAATCCTATAATGGAAAAACTATCCATGATGATTCCTTCCACCGCCGCTGTCAGAAGTCGGGACCTGACCATCTTCCGGGCCGACTACTAGACAGGTCAATAATTACCGTCCAGCTGCATATACTCAATATTAGGGACTACATGATTGGTTATCAAATTGTCCGGCATTGAGTTATTTTTTCATCAAGCTTACATTATCGGGAACTTAGGTATGGAGTATTGTGGTAATTATTGGGCACCATTTATGAACGATCATACTATAGGCATTTCCATAACCCATACGGAGGAACTGGAGTAACTACTACCATTTTAGGCAAAGACTGCTCTGTCAAATCGGACTCCCTCTCGTGCTCTCTACAGTAGGAAACCACGATAAGCCACGTAGTTCTCACAAAGAGACGGATAACATAGACGTGTGCGTCATGCACGTCTGACGCTGGTGGCTGATTTAGGATGATAATAAACAAGGCATCCATATAATCCGTATTGAACAAATGAAGCCGTCATAACTACTGTATGTAGCAATTGTGGGGGGTGCTTATTGGACGCATTGATGGATAGTATGTATTGGGGATATTGGAGACGACCATTTCTTGCCTTATCATACGCATCCAATTGTAGACGGACGCGTTCGACCACTTGGGGTGAACTGGGATCGGAATGGTTGCTAGAGCCACGTGGGTGCGCTGGGAGCCTGGGATGTGATGCGAAGGTCGTAGCCGATAGATATCTGTTCTTACTTGAATGGGGATATCCTAGAGGAACTGAGAGCCGAGGGAAACGTTGCTATGCTTACAAGGGCTCTTCAGCAAGACGTAAGCAGCACTTTAAACCTGAATGGTCACTCCATGGCACTGGGGTATCCAGTTGTCGTCGCAGTAGACCTTGTCCCGCGCTTTCGAGCGCACCGGGTCGAAGAATGTCCATCTCTTGCCCCTTCAGGCCAAGAACGGCCACTTTGTCCAACCGACCTGGAGGGAAAGGCTCCCGGCCATCAAGACCCCAGGTGAAGCCCGGTTCGTCGGGGTGCAGCTCGTTCCACACATCTACCAGACCGTTCGCGGCCACGAGACTGTCATCCTCCGGGAGGACAGGGTTGAAGTCTCCTGCAACGAAGCCATGCCCAGCACAACGGAGACTATTCGCAACGATGGCGAGCTGCCGCGGACGACGACTTGGCTGAAGAGCAAGAGAGTCCAGATGCACGTTGACCAAACGGACACGGGTAGCAAACGGTGGCATGAAGACATCGCAGCAGAGAGCGTCTCGCTCAAACTTACTTGGATATTTAACTCGCCAGACTGGTCCGATACATGCTTTGTCTGGTTCCTGACTGTCTCTACCGAAACTGAGTTTGGATAAGAGTATCACGGTCATGAATACGTGACCTCCATAGTTGCTGAGGTTTCCCTCGTTAGAGTACCAATTCTCACGAATCCAGGGATCATTGAGGAGGTAGAACAGTGCTGCCTTAGGAATTTCTTGGAAGAAGAGTATGTTAGGTGGGGGAGTTTGACTGCGTATGGTGGAAATGATGCCGGCCATACGATCATCGGGAAACTTGGCGAAGGCATCTACATTCCAAGTTACAAGATTAAGTGCAGGATTCTTCAGTTTCGCTTTGTCCGAGGCTGGCATTGTGCTCTCATCGCATGTCACTGGGGTAGAGGACGGAAGTAAGCTCCAACAGTTGGCGAGTGCATCGAAGGAGTACCATTCTTGAAAGGTTGGCGGGGCATCCGCATCACCAGGTAGCGGAGGGGACTGCATGGGACCTTCTGCTGAGGAAGTCATTGTTGTACTGTGCAGAGACACGCTTCTCACGATCTGCCTAGATACCCAATGAGGAGGGGTGGGGAGGCTTGGTGATAAGCCTGCAGTGGCAGTTTTTGTTGGATCCGAGGATGAAACAACGAGGGGGGGTGACACAGCTGGGGCGAAGTGCTTGCTTGCTCCCTGGGATGAGGACGAGGGGAAGAAAGAAGGCGGAGGGGAAGATGCGTTGCGATGGACGTTGGAGCGAGCCTCCTTGCAATCACATGATGCAGGGGTCATTCACCAGCTGGATCACATGATGGCCACCAAATCGCTCAAACAGGAAGGCCACCGCATCCACGTTTTCACTTTGCTGCGAGGAGACCCTCCAAACCTGTCTGTCGGGCGTCTCTCCCCTTCGTGGCAGCGTCTGTGTTTCGTCGGCTCAATCGATTTCATCATCTTACTAAGATCAAGGCAGCGCCCTGTTCAGCTGCCTTGAGAAAGCCAAGGCCACTAGAGCCCCAGTCAGCAACGGCGGCAGCAAACCCTGGCCATCTGGACTAGTCTACGCCTTGCTCTCTACGAAACGAGACACGCCCCCCGATCTAAGCCCGAGTGGTAGCCGGTTTTGTACTTCTGGTCCCAGAGGCTGGGTAAGACGCCTTGACACAAGTACGAACATCTTACCGTGCAAGCTGCCTTTTAGGGCGACCGGCCAGTGGCTTATCAGTTACCTAGACCGGTGTAGACCTAGAACTAAGTCTCATTGCCATGCGGAGAATCGTGGAGAACCACCATGGTAGGACCGGCATAGCCGTCCGTGCACGGTGAGTCGATCCTCTTGGGACTTGGACCCAACTTTGGCCTAGTCGAGTCCCACAGCACGGAATTGCAGCTTCCTCGTCCACTCCGATGGCGTGGTCCAGAAAGAGGAGCCCTCTACTTAGTAGTAGGCTCCCCAAGACTCAGACTAGGCCTGAGCTGAGTCAATCCGTCGCTACGGAGTAATGCCGTATGGCCCGCCGAGTGTCTTGCAAATCCCTCTTCAATCATTCGACGATCACTGACGAAAGGTGGGTTGCCGCACCGTGCACCGGTGTATTTCTGAGGCCTAGAGAGTCTAGACATGAGTTTTGGCCTGTGCTGTATGAACTAAGATAGTAGGCTGTGCCGGAAGGCAGACGACTTTGGGTCCGCAAGCCAGTCAGTCCACTTAGAGCGTCGTCAAGTCAAGGCAGTAGACACTAAGAACTCTCCACTGTCTGATTATTGCTATCGACGGGCTGGCGTGGGAAAAAGCAAGCTGGGGCAATGAATGTCCTATTCGGTCCGAGAGCCCGCTGTGTCTCGGAGGATTTGATACTCTCGGTGGGTGATTTTGGACAGACGTGACGAATGCAGAGTGAAGAGGAGAACCCGAAAAAAGAAAAAAAAGAAAATGCAAGAAAACAGGGTGATTAACCTTGATCTTCTGGCGGAGGAAATCTAAGATCGCCCCAACAATGATGGAAGGGGCGGACTAAGCAATCCCGAAAGAGTACGAGAGGAAGGGAAAAAAGGAAAAAAAGAAATCAGAGGAAAAAGAAATGAGAGGAAAAAGCAAAGAAACGCGGCATAAGCAACGCAAAAGATAAACCAAAAGAGGAAAAAGGAAAAAAAGACTCAAAAGCCAGCCAGATGAGACGAGTGGGATAAAAAAGACGCATTCTTTCTTGAGACACCGCCGTCTTGTTGCACATTGAGAGGAGCAAACGTAACGGACACTGATAATTAGTTCCCAATTAGACTGGACCTGCGGCAAGCGCGCTTTGCGCGAACTGGGGCGGTTGCAGCGCAAAACCCCAGATGGGCTCATTTAGCAAGAGTGGAGAAAAAAACAAAAAGAGCAGATTCTGGACTCGTGCCGGAGGTGGATCGCCCGTCAGGTTATTTCATAATTTTCCATCACGCTCACCCTGAGCATCAACTTACTATGGATGGATGCACGTCCCAACACAGTAAGTAGAATTCCACTAGCGGGTGAATAGCGTATAGTCTGCGCCAGAGGCCTGGCAGGACTGCAAGGACACCTCACAGTACGTCAGTGCCGACCTGGGGCTTTCTCTTAACGACTTAGCTCCAATATAGTGGCATCGCTGCGCCGGAGTCGACTGACCAGTCGCAGCAACTGGAATGACTAGAGTGCCAGCACGTCACTCGAAATAGATGGAGACCCAGCGGTGCCTTCTTCCTATCCCCAGCATGGCAGGCAGGTCCGTAGAATTTCATAGCCGCCTAAGAGGACGTCTATTTGCCATTACGCTGGGAGCTGATGACCCCCCTCCCACTCGGTGCCGAGAGGGAAGCCGGCCCACGCAGCATCCCACGCGCTTTCCTTCGGTCATCGTGCCCTCTGTTGCACAGGTGATGATGTATGATTTTCCTGCACTCCGGTCTAAAGATATGCTTGACTGGTCCTCCGAAGTGGTCCCAACATACCGGACTGCGCTATTTCTTTCTCATTTCGTAATGCCATCGAGTACGATGTACTTGTCCCAATGTCTCTGCGTCTGCCCCGGGCAAGAAAAAAAAAAGACGAATACCGCTGGGGCGGAACCGCAGGAACCTGTTAGACAGGGGCATCATTTCCCCTAGGATCCGATCGGGTTCAGCTCACGAGGTCTTCCAATGGGCGTGCGCACGGACGATATACGCGTGAGCTCCGCCTGACGATTCCATAGGAAGAATGGAAGTAGGGAGCGGTATTATTGTCTCTGTCACAACCCTTGCCCGACCTAGGACTCTTTCGTATGTGAGTAAGCGCGTTAACTTAGTGCCTTCCTATCCAGGCAAAACAAGACTAGTAGGCACCGGTACCGTCGCAATTGAAGTGACATTCAGCAGCTAGTACATGGGCCGGGCTGCGAATCCAGGGCGGAGACGGACCTGCGCATGGTTTGAGTTTCTCGTCCACATAGAGTTCACTCTCTGATGGATCCTCACCCCCGCGTTTACCACTAAGACCCAGTGGAGCTCGATTGAACTGAATGCTGAGAATTCAGTTGGATCATGTGGATGCTGTCAGGTTCCTTTTTTTTATTTTATTTTTTTTTTTCGGGGCGGCGAATTGCGGCTTTTGCGGGGAAAGACAGAACGTATCAGAACCCAACCCAGCTCCTTGAATCCGGAATGTAGTAGTCCCCTTGTAGCTAAATCGTCTGACCCTAATGATGATCTTTGAGACTATGGCTTACTCTCCTGATTATAATTGGAGCCATTGTCCTCTCCGGGAGCAGAGAGTTTCGCCATGTTGAATTCTCCCATTGCCCCCCTCCGATCAGACTTGCGACGTGGAGACCTGTATGCGTGAACAATAAAAAGCTTCATCGAAGATCCTCTTCTTTTCTTTTTCCCTTCCTTCATTTCCTTTTGTTGTGAACTTTCATCTCAAAAGCAATGAATACCCTATCATGTCTTGCGTTGTCGATTTTTCTTCTTTCTATCATCTTCACCAGATATCGAAAGAACCTGCCATCCTTATGGCGCACAAAACATGCCGAACCGGGTTGCAATGATCTTAAGAAAATGGCTCCTTACCCAGCCCAACCCATCAAGGGCAGGGAGAGATACCGAGTCATGATGGACGTCCGGAAATTGGACGTGGAAAACTGGCTCACCGTTGATAAGAACTATATGGACGAGCACGAGGTTAGAAGCCAATTGCTGGAGAAAGAGAAGAGCAAGGTCCTCCAATGCCTCCCTGAGTCATATGACGCATGTCTAGAGGCATTGGAAGAGGTAGTTGAATTCCTCTGCCAGCGATTCTCCAATGTTTTCGAACAAAAAAAGTGCGGTGACGAGACGACTGTGCACAACAAAATGACTGGAGAGACATTTTCCTTTGGAGGGAAGAACAAAGATGTCGATCCACTTGAGATAGCCGTCAGACTGACAATGGAGGATTTGAGTATTCTGATGAAAAACGAGGAGGACGAGTACTATCTGTTAGTCTTATGATCCTACTCTCACCTCCAAATCGACCGACTGACCGATATGAACAGGGCCGCCAGCGCAAGCCTTTTCCCCGTTGGCTGGACAGTTCAAGACCGCATTGGGTGGACCATCTCTAAGCTTCACAACCCGGTACCACTGTGGCATCAGCAGGTTGCCAATTCAGTCAGCAAGTAAGTACTCCGGCTGCTTGGGTTGGCAGTGAAGGCGAACAGCAGAAGCAAGGAGAGAGACTAACATTCTTACTCCAGATTCTTGGCTCGGCTCACGCCGGCATCACCCATGGAGAGATCCAACTACTTCGTCGAAGTGAAGCGGCCCGATGAAGATCTATTTGAGATCCTCTATCGTCCCACTTCTTTATCTGAGGAGAACCCGGATCCAACGCCACAGGATATTGTTATTCGTCGTGAGCGACAAACTTTCCGTCGACTTCCTCGTACCGGAGCACTCGTCTTTGGTGTCAAGACCATTTTGACAACTCTGGATGAGCTGCCAATGCAGGAATTGCAAAACCTTGCCAAGGAGATCAAGAGCTGGCCAGAATATGTTGGTGAATATAAAGGAAGAGAGGTCTGGGGCCCCAAGGCTCTAGAGTATTGTGAGAAGAAAAGCCAACTGTATCAACAAGACCCTGAAAAGATGGTGATGTAATGATGGAAGATTAACGAGGTTGGGAAGGAGGGAAGAAGGGAAGAAGGGGAAAGGCGGCGAAAGGGCGCCATCGCATGGGAGGCTTTCTGTTGCATTTTTTGCGTTCTGCATCGCTTCTTGCATTGGGCCATCTTACCGGATGGGCGGCTGTCTGATTGAAAAGTCTCCAGTCAAAGCATTGTTTCTTTATTGTCTGTATTATTCTGCATTTTCATAACGCCGTTGACGATCCTGCATGGTTGAGAAATCTTGTTGATATATTATAGTCATTCACCTGGGAGACTTCAGAACAGCCCGGAATGCACACTGTTAAGGTTTGCTTGTGAAATGGAGTATGATTGCCTCTAATCCAAAAGCCTAACATCTAGTAATACTAATGTATACCGTTGTACTATATGCAGTTCATTCCTGGGGTCAGTAGTGTGAACGTGCGGCAAGAGACCAACAGAACAATTCGATGAAGATTGACGGATGGAATATGATCAGTTCGTTGCCAAACTATACTATATACAATTATCAAAATCTATACAATCTAAGATTATTTATCCTGAAAGACAAAATACGGGTATATCTACTACGACTGGATGTCCACGGCATGTGTCCTCGCCGTCAAAGCTTAGACCGAGGTGGCTCGTCTTGTTTGAGACGCACGACTCCCTATAAAGTACCCAATTAGACATATTGTTTCAGTAGAAGCACTCAAGGCACATACCTCTTGGGTGCATGTAGCGATCAAAGTACCATCCTTTGACCAGATCTTCTGTAACACCAAGCCTCGTCCCTCACCGGCCCAAGGGCTCTCCATTTCTGTAAGCATCCATTCGTCTGCCCGAAATGCCCAAGGGTTATGGAAGTGGATTGAGTGATCAAGACTGACCATCATGCCCACTTCCTTATGTTCCTGAGGTGGCTGAGTAGTTACTCTATGCAAAGCGCCTTCCAAGCGACGGCGTAGATCTGCCGCTTCCTCTTCCTTCAGCTCCTTAAGAGCACGCGCGATATCCTCGTCATCCAGGTCAGACGGGTTTTTGAGCGCATTTAGTGCCTTCTTAAGTTCCTCTGGGGAGGAGAACCGAGGAATATTATGGACCCTGGACACGGTGCCAATGAAATAGCTGTCGGTCATATATGCAAGGGCAGACAGATGAGCTTGATGGCCACCCGCATCGGAAATCTTGCCCCTTGAACGCATAAAGCGTCTCGTTTTCCGTTCCTGAGGAGGGAGGTTTCCTGAGACAGTCAGCATATAATCTCCAGCTCTACCGACACACCATAGATACTGACGATCTATAACACCCGCTTTCTGTGACTCGAATGGCCCACCACCCGATTCCTCGAATCTTCTTTTAGATCCCGGTCCAGGCTCCTCTGGCAGAGTGACAGCTGGCATCGAAGATGCATGCTCCAGCTTCTTCTTGCCGCCACTGTTGGCCTTGTTGAAACTCAGTGTTGTGGTGAAGATGGGGCGACCGCGCTGCTTGGCTTGTACCGTCCGCGTGATATAGCTCCTTCCATCACGTACTCGTTCCACGTGGTACAATATAGGTATCTCGGAGTCACCGGCGAGGAGGAAGTAACAGTGCATGCTATGGACGGCGAAATCGGCGGGAACGGTTCGTAGCGCAGCGGCGAGACACTGGGCGATGGCAGCACCACCGTAAATGCCTCGCGCTCCAGGCGGATGCCAAAGTGGTCGCGTATTGGTGAAAACATCCTGTTGAAAGAGAAAAACCCGTTGGATTCGCGAGAACTAAAGGAATGGGAGGAAAAGACATACTTTCCCCACGTCAATCACCGGTGTCAGTTCTAACACATTCTCAATGGGCGCCTTGGTGGAATCCAACGGCGGAGGTTTGAAAAGAGTCGCTGATTGCGCCATACTTAGTATTCCTCTGACTCCGAGACAGGTAAGGAGTTGAAACACAGGAAATGCGCGAAGCAAAAAAGAAAGTCCTGGGATCTGGCGGGGGTTAAGGAGGCCGCCTGCACACGTCGGTTCGGTGGAGCACGGGATTTCCGATTCAGGCAATAGCCGAGGCATCTCGATTATTCATGATTTTATCGGCATCTCCGGACTTGTTCACAACTATACATATCCATTAAACTGCCATATGACGGAGCAAAAGGTCTGCAGGTGCATAGGCACCTGATCATTGCCAGGTGTTCTATTGGAAGGATCTTTGGTAGTGAGCTTTCTTATCAATTACATTGCCGAGGTTCTATTATCGCACAGGAAAATCATTCACTAAGTATGCACATGGCGACAAGGCAGACATTCAGCTTGCAACCATCTCTAGCTGCATGACTTAATGACTTCTGTGATAGCAAGGTCAATGACCAAACTACGTCTGAATCGAACATCGCCCACAATTTCGTTCACATACAGCTATTATACATATAAAAAGCCTACCTCACTCAGAGATAGAAGGCTAGCTCATGCGACTGGACGGCCGCCATTTCGATATAACCACAATCTGCTCATTTGGTGCATCTTCAACCTCATATTGAGCCCAACCTTCATGTTTTGCGCGCTACCAGAGAGTACCGAGTTCAGACTAGCGCCATCTACTTCCCCAGTGCCTGCGTCCAACAGCCCCGCTGCATCGAGGACCGTGACAGGCCTGTCTTCTTCAGGCCGATCATGTCGACTTACTATGACATCCGTGTCCATGAAGTCACCCTCCCGCGGCTCCCGCGTAAATCGATTGGTTGGATCCAGTGGGAACATCGTATCAAGGTAATGCTGATTGAATTGGTGGCCTGAAGCCGGACTTACAAGCACCTTACCCATGAACCGGTTTTCGCGACGGTCCCGTGGCTTACTGTGGTCAAAATTAAGCACCCCAAAGCGACATGCAAAATCACGTTGGTTGGCATAGTGCTCGATGTGTAGAATTGTGCGGTTGCGAACATTGCCAGTGATTTCTCCCGTGCGCACATAGCGCATGGCTGCGTTACACGATGCTATGTCGCGATACGGGTTGTTGAAGTGATTTGCAAGACAACCAAAGGTGT